AGCTCCTATCTAATGGCAGACGTGCCAGTCTTATATAGAACCTTCGTGTTCCTGAAGTCGACAATGTCGACTGTCGACATAGTCGATAATCGACTTCTCGACCAGGCGAGAAGTCGACCTGCATATATCACGTGACTTGTATACAAAGAAATTCCTGGATCGCTTAACTAACCTAAGCGATCCCTTTTTTGCTATAAGAGCCATGATGTGTTTGTCCTGTCAGAACCCCGTCTGGACTAACTCCTCACGTGCTAGCACGTGATTTGTGACACTAAACTCCTTAGACCGCTAAATATTATACTAGGGAAGCGTATAAGCTTAAAGATATATTTATATAATTAAGCGTTTAAAAGCGGGAATAGGAGTAAAGAAGGAGTAAACTAGTATTAGCTTATCGAAAGGTATTTTAAACCTAAGCTTATTCCTTAGTATAAGAACCTATAAAAGACCCCCCTTAGTAAGAGGAATATATAGCTTATAATAGATAATACCGCTTCTTATACTAGCTAGAATACCTAGCGTACACCAGCTTATAAGTCTTGTTTTAAGATCCTTTATTCGACGTAATCTCCTAGCCTAAATCTAATTAAGTAAATCTAGAACTATATTTATAAATAACTTCGAAAGAGAGAGATCTCGCCTTAAATAAAAGAAGAGCTATATATAGTATAGATCGAGGAATAGAATAGGATCCTATAGTCGGTTATAGATAAGAAGATTACTTATATATCATTTATTACGTAAAGAGTAATTAATAATAATAGGGATAACTATTTCTATAACTAGTATATTATATATATATTATATAAATATAAGGAAAAGGCGTCTATAAATAGCTTTAATTATTTTCTTATATATATATTACTTCTAATTAATTCTTGTTGTTTTCATTTGTTGCTATACTAATTAGTATAAGGGCTAGTGGTAAGGCTAAGACTATTTTGGGCGCACGGTTACTAGGTACGCTCTTACACGAAACCTACTCGAGTATAGTATCTAATTCACCTTCCTCTCCTCTCCCCATAACCATCTCAAAAAGCGATCCCCTTAAAAAGCGATCCACTTAAGAAGCGATCCCCTCAAAACCCTCTAAAAAACTCTCACCAACCAAACCTAACCCTCCCGTACCTCCATGAAAATAATACCCGTGAACTAGGTGGGTCTCTAGACTTTGTTTGACTCTCATTAGCTAGCTACTTAGCTACCTTGCTTACTTCCTTAGTTCCTTGGTTCCCTGCTGTCCTTCTTAACTTCTTTCCTGTCGTCCTTCTATCCAGGTGAATATACATATCATTGGATCTTATTAACAAGGCTAGTTTCCTAACCTACTCTACAAGGCTACGGGGCTGAGGGGAAGTGAGGTAGTGAGGGAGTTTATGATAGTGATGGAAGAACAAAGGACAGAGGGAAGAAAGGGAAGGGAAGTGTAACGGATCCATGGTACGTACGTGGGGAGTGGGGAGTCGGGGCACAACAAACAAACAAAGAGACAAATAAAGAGAATTGGAGGACGCGAAATAACCTTAAATGAGGTGGAGTGCACGTGTTCAGAACTGAACGCGTCAAAACCCTTCTGGAGGTCAGCAGACAATAGGTGTCATTCTTTGTCAGAGGGTGAATTTGGTATTGGATTTTGAATGAATAGCCACCTGACCATTAAGTTGAGCTCTGGCTGAGCCTTTGAGGCCTCAACGTGAAGTTTCACGAGGGGCAGCAAGTTTGAAGAGAAAAATGGAGTTGTACTTGGAATGTAATCAATTAAAGGTTCTATGTACCACTTTCTCGCGATTCTCAATCCCATATGTAGAAGTAGCCGCAAAGACATGAAACTCAAGCATCCACATCTGCACCCAGTATCACCCAAGCAACCACCATCCCCCACAAACCAGCACGCAGCAGCCAACCCATAGAAAGAAGTGACCAGATCCCATCCTCAGTGTCAATGAAACAAGGAAGCACCACCATCGTCATATCACTGAACTGTAAAATAACCAAGAGTTTTGGAATTTGGACGGTGATTGTGGGTGTGTGTATGCTTGCATGTGTGTGACTCTCATTGTGAGGGTGTTGGTATTCAAAGAATTCGTGTTTGCGTTGTCGTATTTGGGGGCTCCTCAATAACGATTAGTAGAGGGAGTAACCACCGTCAATGATAACGTTTGAACCAGTCATGAAGGAAGATGAGTCAGAAGCAAGGAAGACTGCGAGACCATTCAAATCGTTGACTGCACCAAGACGTTGTTGAGGAGTCAAGGACTTCCAGATGGCCTTTTGCTTGTCGAGAGCGGGAACGTTGTTCAAGGCAGTGTCCATGTAACCTGGAGGAAGAGGTTAGAATCATGTATATTATATGGATATAGGTAATATAAAAAACTGCTTGGCTGATGTCATGGGGTTAGGACTAACCTGGTGAGATGCAGTTTACACGGATGTTGTACTTGGCCCACTCAGCTGCAAGAGACTTGCCAAATTGGACAACACCAGCCTTGGAGGCATTGTAACAAGATTGCTCTTGAGGATAGTTGACAATTGATCCAGACATGGAGGCAACAAGCACAATTGAACCAGGCTTGTTGGCTGCCATCATAGCCTTTCCAACGGCCTGGGACATCAAGAAGGAACCAGTCAAGTTGATGTCAATAAGTCGGCGCCACATGTCGTGGTCGTACTTCTCTGCTGGGATGTTGGAGCTATGAAGTTGTTAGTATGTTACGCCAAGTTACACAATCAGTTGAGAAAGGGAATTGCATAACGCGACTCTTCTGCAAAAGACCAAGCTGGCTCAAGATTGAGACCAACAAAGCGATGGAAGGGGAAACTTACTCAGCAATACCAGCAGAGTTAATAAGTACGTCTGGAGCGCCATATTTCTCGACAACTGATGCAACAGCATTCTCAATAGCGGCAGCGTCACGAACGTCAATAGCGTAGAAGTCAACTGGGATGCTGGAGTTGGTAGCGTTGTGGAGTTCAGCGGCCGACTCAACACCAAGGTCTGGGTTGGCATCAAAAATAACAATGGCCTTTGCACCTGCCTCAACACAGGCGCGTGCCATAAAGTTACCAAGACCTCGCGCACCACTAAAATAAAAAATGAATGTTAGCCAATGAGTCTTGAAAGAGGTTGAGATCGGACAGAGCGATTGGATTAGAGCGATAATTAAACCGAACTTGAAGAACGTACCCAGTGACAATGACAACCTTGCCAAAGATAGATCCCTTTTGCAGAGTTGGGTTCATCTTTTTGAACATCTCTGCAGTTAGGGGAACGACTCGTGCTGAATCTTGCTCCACTTTGTCGCTAACAATAAGCTTAGATGGCTTGACGGATCCCTTCTCAAAAGAGACTGCGGCAATCTCCTTCTCTGAAATTGGTTCATAATCACGGAGCTTGGTGCTGGCGGAGAAGGCTGCGCGAGAGACCTTTGGAGCTGCGGCAGATCGAACTGCGCGGATTGCTACTCGTCCGAACATATTGGCTTCTGTGTGTGAGGTATTGATAGTATGTAGTAGATTTGAGAAAGGATAGGGGAGAGCGAGTGTGGTGGTGCGTGTACAAAAAATCTGTTTATAAGAAAGTTTGCAAAAAGGTTGTGTGAGGTTGGGGAGAAAAATTTGAGAGCGGAGGTGAAATATCAAGTCGGAGGGGGGAAGGCCGCTAGTCGAGGTGGAAGGAGCTTCGGGCCTGATGGTTGTTTTGGCTGCCTGGACAACTCAATTCACTCTTCTTTCGCTTATGAGTTTTGTGTCCTAATGACGCGTGTCGCTATGGTATTTCGAGACCTCCTATTTGATTCCAACACCTAATTAGCAACAGTCCTTTCAATGCCGCCCAAACAGACACTTTTGACGAACCTGTACAAAGCTTGAAGCTGTCGATAAGAGATGATCGCAAGAGCGTCCGGTCGGAAAGTTGAAGAGTATACAAACGTCTATTCTAGCAAAAGAAAAGCAGATATATTCAAAGAGCAGGATTCCAGCGCTTGGTAGTCCTTCCTTTTCCGCAAGTGTAAGTGATCTTGTAGATCGAAACAGAGACGAAATCTATGGTATGGCTAACGAACAACAGAGCTGTCTATTGAGTCTTGTCTTTGGAAGTCTAGTCAGAGAGAGGTCGTGTAGTGGATGGAAAGTAGCCGGAGGAAGGAAGAGCAAGAAAGGGCCGGAAGCACTGGAGGATCGAGGACCTTTTCAACGAATTTTCTGTCCTCAGATAATGCAGCCAAGCGCTAAGGGTCAGGATGACAGGGTCTGCTTGGAGTGTTTGCAGGGAAGCTGCAGGGTTGTCTGTGCTGCCTTGCATAGTCCCCAAGGCTCATGGCCCACTCTGGAAGCCAGATATCAACCCAGTTGCAGTTTGATGCACGCCAACGCCCGCTAAGCATGCAGAAGCCGGTGACTTTGACCACCCGGGGACCAGGATCACGGCAGCCGGAGTTTATGGGAGAGAGAGCTCGGGGCAAGGCAGGGTAGGGTAGGGCTATCAAAAAGCTGATCAAGAGATGGGAGAGAGTCAACCTTGGGGGCAGCGGGGGGTAAAAGGGGAACGACCGTCGACCGACGGCTGAAGCAACGCCGCAAGACGGAATTGAAGAGCTGCAAGAGCCCTTCTCGACAGGCGAGGCGTGGAGGTCTCAACTGGGAACGACGTCGTAACATGGGAACCCCGGAGGCGGTGTGAGGAGAAATGAGAGATGAACAATCAGAGCCATGCCATCCAGATCCAGTTGGTCCCGTGGTGTTGTCGGTGAACGAGGGACTTGCGTCCCAAGGTTCTATGGGGAGGGGAGGGTACAGTATTGAGTAGGGGGGGGGAAGGA